AACTAGTGTATCACGTGAAAGACTCTTTTTTGCGGGCTTAAAAATTATCACTGAGCTCAGCGGTCCTCTAGTGCTAGTAATTTACGAGCGCTCATGTGGTTGGAGAACTGGCTAAAAACGATTATAGTTATTTGGTAAAATCTACTACGGACTGCTATGAGCAATCATTCGAACACGACAGCTAACTTGTTCGAAAGAGACGAAATACATTAACGACTGCTGCACATAACAATGGCAATAATTGCAGATCTCACTGACGCTAGTTAGATATGCTTACAGTCGCCTTATGATCAGAATTTGTCAAAATATTTGGGACCCACCACAAATTATCGTGTAGTAGTACTTTTTCTCTTCTGACGCCTATGCAGCCCAACAATTTCAAAAAACAGCTACATCACCACAAAAAAACCAACAATCAGAATTTAAAGACAAACAAATGCATGACGCCCACGGCTTAAAACCTCATAATAATTCCGCCTAGGATGAGACTTAACTGCGATCCAATGTCGACATAGCCAGTCGCATCGTCGCCAGAATACGATCGTTGTCATCTACGTGGCTTCCTCTACCTTGATCATCATCCAAGTGACGCGCACGTTCTCGTGTGCGTTCACTCGGATTTCTTCGGCCAGTATGGATCTCTTGCTGACCAGCACGATATGACCAAACGCTCGAACCTGCTAAAACAAAGATATCGTGAGCAATGTCAATTTGTTTCACGTTGCCAAATAGCACAATAGCAAAAAGCAGGATGATATACCGCTGCTCGAGATGTGGTGAGAAAGGCGCATGTGTTCGGCCTCGTCTTCTTGCATGCTCTTAAATCGCCTAAAAAAGTTAGCTAAACACAAAATGTCACCTCAACGAGCTTGTTACCATAACAATTGGATGATGCACATGCGTCTATAAATTGTGAACGTACAGTGTTATGTATCCGATGATCGTGGAATAGGCTAGATATGAATCAAAAACAGTGCGTAATCAGCATATTCGTGGCAGAAGAAATGTGCCTATTACAAATACACATGTATGGCCGTCAACCACATATGCAGCGATTGTAGTGCATATTTGGACGTACATGTTGGCCCGTTTGAAGTTTTCCTTGAGATATTTTGCCACATGAACGCATGAGTCACCCACTTGATTCGATACACGTTTCACACTTGTACTTTTGCGGGGGCTCTGTTGCGATGATATATTATGTGGTTCACACGAGTGTTTTGAACCAGGGCGACCCAACGGATCGCGCTGGACGAGCTGGTTTGGGTCCTGGGTCGGATTCTGACCTGGAACAATGACCCTGGGTTGAAGCCTTACCCTGAACCATAACTAAAGGATTTAGAGCTTTTACATACACTGTACGAGAGGTTTATACCTGCTTTCTTTAATATACCAAGATACTGTAAGAGTCTACAATTCTTTCTCTGACAAAGAAGTAAGGGTAGCTTTGATGCAGTTAGAATGTGAATCTTACTTGGTCCACTCGTGCACGTGAAGTCGAACGAAAACTAATTATTTAAATGAGGCGTAACCAACTGGTACTATTTTTATTGCAACTATGTCTGCTGTTCCCTCATCAAGACTTGAACAAAACTAACTTTAACAGCATCATGTTCCCATACAACGACCTAACATGTATGCGTCACAACTCCTTAATAGTTTAATAAGTCTCTGACATTCATTCCAAATTCATCAGTGGTTTTTTACACATTGCCTTGTGGGGATTCTCGTTCAAATTAACTTGATTGTGGGAGGTACATGTACAACTCTTACTAAGGCGCTTGTACTGGAAAGATACTGTATGCGCCTATAGTACTAGTACTAGAAATATTTCTATTTTAGTCAATAACTGATGCATTCTCTGTTGGTACCGGAGTGAGAAGTGTGGGGGTAGAAGCCAGAGGGTATAAGGATATTTCCTCCTTTTTCTCGGACTTTTGTGATCTTCCACTGTAGTGACATTTTACACAGACGACTTTGGGATGTCTAAATATTATTTTTGAGAACGAATCATCTGCAGAAGCATATATAGTCCTCCCTCTACTTACTTTTATTCTTTGTAGGTACCCTTACATAATTTATCAGAGGTCGTTAGTCATCGGATCATTGTTTCGTCGTCTGTTTAATGTAAAATATTATTGGCGTGCTGAAACGAGTGATTAAGCAAAGTGACCAGGAAGTTTGAGCAGACGTAAATATGGGCACATCTCCGAACGGCCGAATTTAGCGACCATCTCTCGTACATTTTAAATGACTTCCTTTGATTGTTTGATTCTAAACTCAATTTCAATCCACGAATTCAAGAATTGTTACTAACCGGTTTAGTGCGCCACAATCCCTTGATTTAATATTGGTCGGGTTATCTGTCTGCTTTTGAAATTAATCCTAGCCCTTTACGGTGCAAATCTTGTCAATACAAATAATTAAAAGTATGATTAGATGTTAACGTAATCAGTTATTTAGCACTTAAGTGGAGCACAACTTATGGATACGGGATGCTAGCGAAATGCAGCTATCATGTATCACATTTGATGCTACTTACGACTGCCCTTCCTCCGCTTCTAGATCGATAACTCCAGTGTCGTGGACGCTGGAATGTATTGGCGCTGAGGTTGACACTGTCACCCAGTACCGGACTGACTATGTGCACAGCTTAACGGAGAGCAAGGAGAAGTGTTAGCGTTATGTAAGTGTGAAATTGGCAAGGCCAAATGTGATTGGCACTAAATAAATAGAGGAAAATGATAAACAGTATAGGACACGGAGAGACGACATACTTGGCGTTCTGGCTTATCGGCGTTGTGAAACACTCGAGTCAATTTTTGATTGAAAAATTTAATTCGAGAGCACAAAACTGATTGATGCGCACTGAATTAAGAGTTTACATTACTGTTATAAATCAATTATTAAAGGATAGAAAGTGAATATCTTCAACGGAACTACCCGACCCATCTCTTCCCCTATAGTAAAATCTCCCCGTCTGGAGCAGAATAAGGGCTCCAAAGACCACCAACACAGGTCCTCACTTGCTATCTAAATATAGATTAAATAATTCCAGTAAGGTGTCAGAGACACGTAGCCACCATGTTCGTTTGCTGGGGTCGATGTTCTGTCGAAACAAGGAGTTTTTTGTTCGGCTGACTCTCCATTGATGAGCTTCTCAACTCTATTAACCTAGACAAGAGTGCTCATCCAGAGATCAACGATCAAGATATTATGGTAGCAGGCAATGAAGGATGGCTGCACAGGGAGAGGCTCTTGTCGACAGATTTACCAGGTCCGATCTTAGAACCAAGAAATGCTGCCTTTTTTGTTGCAGATATGACACTGACATGTGTATCGAAGACTTTACAAGTCTTACCGACATCAAGCCTCGTCTCAGATTCGATTCTAGGAATTCTGATTTCTTCTTTGTCTCAGCCCTTCAGTCTCCAATTGCATGTCTGGTCGCATACACAATTCTCTACGAAGAGACTAAACTGTTTCTTTTTCAACATCAGAGAAGATCACTACGATTGTAGGTAAAACCTTTCTAGTAGAAAAGTAAAGAAACATGATCATGACTTCTGAATTGACATGTGGACCAGACACATTTCGGTCTCCCGCCGGGGGCCTCGTCAGTGGCTTTATCAATCGAGAAGTGACTTCTGCTCTATCCTGCGCTAAATTCTATACTGAACTTTTAAGGCCTCGTGTAAACACACATCTACCCCAAATAAGTACTACAACTGGCAGCTAGGGCGTTGACCTGGGAGAGGAGTATCTGTTACGGCACTCTATTTCCGACATTTTACCTTGCATTGACTTCTCCCAGGAAACCACCGTCCTGTCTACCCTCCATTCCGCAGTCTCTAGGCTGACATTTTCACTGCCAACACCATACACACCGCCCTCGATGCTTGTTCCTTAATTATGTTAACTTCCCCACATTCAATACATATTTTGCCTCTACTAACTTATATCTGGCTTCTCGGCTGCTATTTTACAAGTTTCAAGCTAGCGAATATTGACTAGCAAAGAACCACCCGGTGGGCGTCCAATACTGTAAGTTGATGGAGGTTATTCGTTATCGACGGAAACTTTATCAGAGGGAGCACTGTACGAGACAAGTGATGTGTTTTTGTATGTAATCATTAAATCTTAAATCCATCACACCTTTTTACTGAATCCACCACATTTTTGTACACCACACCACGTGCCACATTGCTCTTGAAGGCGATAGGTGATTGCTTATGGGTTTCGAATTAGAGCGATGGACTAAATGGGGCGCACAGCATCATCAAACGTCAATGTACAATAAAGACACAGTTATATCGTTCAGCAACATCCTACAGACAACAACAGAAGCGGGAGTGATAGCGTACCATACCGTGCAGCAAAGTTACCCCATCACAAAAGCAATTTGAAATCGGCTTGAATCGGAACTGCTATTACCCAAGAACAAGAGTTCTCAGCGGTAGTGCATAGCGAGAGCGTCGACAACAGACCGCGCTGTTGTGTATGTAAAGCCTTACAGCACCCCATGCATTTCAACGTATTATATCAAGGCTGCCTGGTAAGTACGTCGACTTCTAGTAGTCTGCCATGTTGTTATCTGTTGCTGTCACGGCAAGATTAAGACGGCCACGATTGAAATAGCAATTACGTATCGCGTTTAAGAGCAATGTGATATGCGGAGTGGTCTACAATATTGTGGTGGATTTTGCAAGAAGGTGTAATGGATTTAATAATTACCTTTTTGTTGAGTTTACATCCCGAAACGAACGATCACTTGGTGACTCAATCGACGCTATTAGGCGGTGTCCTTGACCATCATCATGCGTGCGGCCCTCATTGTCTGCAATAAAGAGGAGGTCTAGGTGATCGAAAACGCGGACAAGGTTGATGGTGTCATGCACTTTATTGTTATCAAATGGTAAAGAGTCTTCCATTGGCGCTCTTATAAATTCACATAGCGACAGCTGAACAACTCGGTGAGTCAAGATGGAGAGAACGCTCCTCTAGGCCAGCAAAATAGTCTGCAAAAACTCAATGTCGTCTTCGCTCCACGTTTCCTTGTCCCCCGATCGCGAAACAATAGGCATGTAACCGAAGTTGTCGCTTAGACTGATCTCGTCCATCTCGACATCGTTCAACACTGGCAAGTTGTCGACGTCAAAAGGCATGGGCAGATGCAAAAAGGAGCGAGGCATGAAGTTGTCGATACCGGTTGGGGTTGACTCGTCCTTGACGCTTGAACATGATGCTACTGCCGCAAGAGCCTTATTCGCAGCCTTGAACCCACTCTGCTTGCGGTTGTTCTGCGACTCGAACGACAAGACCAACGGCGAACTAGCACTGTCTTTCCCGTCGTCCATTATGCGACTCAGCGCCGGCTGGGGCACTCGGATGGGAGCCACCTGGTCCATGTCCGAAGTGACACCTGGAGTCGGGGCAGTGCAATTGGTGCCGACAATCGTGCGTCTGTGCACAGGATGGTCCGGCTGCTGTTGAAAGTGTGGGACAGCTAGCACCTTCTGCTGCTGGTGCTCATAAAAGAGCTGCTGAGCCACGGCCATTGATACTTGCTTCTTCAGAACGGCACGGCGGAGGGATCGTTCACGACGACGAATCGCATGAACCGTCTGGTACTTGCGGTCGCTGCGACGTTGGATCATGTTTTGCTTGACACGGTGCTCTTCACACAGAGAGTGCGCGTCCCCATTGCGCTTGAGGGTGCGTTCGTTGAAGCACTTGCCGGTTTTGTACTGGCATTTGCCGAAGTACGACTGTTTCGCCGGTGCCTCGTCGTTCGACGTCACGGGCTCACTTATGTGCTCCGTGGAGCCATGAACGACATGGATGACCGAACCCAAGGGAGATGGGGAAGCAATGGTGGCGGTGGAGGGGCTACTCGACGCCATTATGGAATGTCGAAATGCGTGAGAAGAGAACAAATTGGAACTGAGGTCTGAGTGAGGACGGTGCGAGAGCTCAAGGGACAGCACTCTGCGTGCACTCGAGTCTCCTGCTGTTGGCTCTTTGCACGCTGGCAGATGGCCGACGATGAGAATCGCAAGCTAACGTCCAGCTGGTCGTGTGATTGCCGCACGCAATTGCTGCGAGGGTGAATCATCTGTTGTTGGCAGACGTCGGCACCACCCGCAACTCACGAAAAGGTAGGGTCGCTACTTCTACGACTACTTCTACAACCAGCCTTACTGTCTCCCCTCCATCGCGGCCAGCGTGAGCAACATCAACGGTGAGTAGCAGCGGTCCTTTCTACCCTTTGCACTCAGCTTCACCAACCGATCGAGGTAGCAAGTATAAACGAAAGGTACTAGATAATCATGTCCTACGCTAGCAATGTACGCGTTGTTATGGTACTAAAGTGCGTGCAAAACGGCGAGATGCTCTTCGAACGAAAAAAAGCCGTGAGAAAGGTTTGCCGCATGCAGCTACAGGACTGATTTCTACCATTGGCGAGGGGTTTGTTTTCCAGTAGATCTCAGCTATTGTTGGCTATCAGATTCTTTTTCTAGTCGGAAGAAGATGGAGACAAACAAACTTTCAGCGCTGCGCGGCACCCTGTCGAGGCACTTCAACGGCTACAATACTGAAGAGCTTGCTTGTTTTTAGTCCATCTCGTGGTAACGCTTCGTTGTCGATTGAAGTTGTGGCATCCACAACGCCAGTGATCTGCTATTATTACACGATCGATAGAGACATGCACCCCATGCAATCTTGCGCGCTTGGTAGAGCAGTCGATCTCCAATCAGGTGCCCTCCCCCACTCACCTCGTTTCCGGCCACCACCTCGAAGCGATCTCGATTTCACACCAAGTGACTTACTCATTCGTTGGGGTACACTGCTCAAGGTTTCGTCAATAGAGAAGCGTCCTATCCGGTTGCGGCTAGAGACACTATCATGAGCAAAGTGTTTGCTTCTTTACAAAACCAGTTTGGCATTGTTTTCCATAGACACCACGTCAACCCTTTACAAAACAGCGCGTAGTATTCATTTTCAGCATGTGGTGATTGCACGCGTCTCGTTTCTAGTCTTTCATCTGCTCTGCTGTTGATCTTTTCGACCCACAAAGTCGCGTTACGCCGCTGTCAGATGCAGCAAAAATCCCGGCAGAAACCTTTTTTTGACAAGATAGATGCCTCCGGCTGCTCTGAACAGCGTCGTGCTGTAAATGTAAAAGCTGCGTGCATTTCAAACAGTCATGCTCCTGCTTAATCTAGTCTACCACCTCTACAGAATGGTGCAGCAATCGACTGCCCACAGTGTCGCCTCTCTTTTCAGTATTGTTCGACAACATGCAAGTCTGTTTGGTAAACGCTTCGACTGGGGTGCGTGCGCGCTCACGACGTAGCAACACAAAACGCGTGCGCATCAGCCTGTTTTCGATTGTACTCGCAGCGGAACGCTCGTTCCATCTGGGACTGCTTCAACGTGGTCGTGACCCAACACGACGATACCTACGGTTTCGTGTCAGCAAAGTCGGTTAGATTACCAGACACGGTCTCGCAATAGCAAAAGACTCGCGTTGGTCGACCATGAAATGACCACTTGTATTGGCCCTCCTGACCTCGATGTCACCCAACGCTGGTGATTACTCACGGCCTTGGTTCGCCTTTGTGTTTGAAGCATGTAGAAACTCGCACTTTATTGTTATCCAGCGTCATTTTGTATGCCACGAAGCAGACAGCGTCGTCGTGATTGTAACAAATGCTGACTATAGACCTCTACGTCTCGACAAGAGGTTGTTTTTGTCTCTGCTTCGCAGTGTAGCTTTCAGGATCTCCAGATCCTAGCGTCTACCCAGGCTGATGCTCGAAGATGCGTAGCTTCAGACGCCGCGTTAAGATCTGTAGGATGACTCCTGCTTCCTATGGCGGCTGCGAATTAGTCGAGTAGCGTGCAGCGCTAGGTCATTGCTACTTTTGGATACAGGTGTCGATGCATCCTATTCGATTGTACTGCTGTGGCAGCAGTACAATATGGTCTGATGGTGTTCTAGCAGCTGATCCATGTGTTCCGACGTGCTAGCAACGGGCTCGAGACCGTTAAAAAGTCGCACCTGCTGCTCTCGAACCAACCCGCGCAGCTTCCCATACATTCACGGGCTGCTGTGGTGTGAAGACGAGGTGCATGCGCGAACGCCTTTACCCGTTTGTTCTCTCTTTCGAACAGTTGTAAAGACGCGGACTGCACCGGTAGTTGCAATCTTCAGATCCGTGATGCCGTTTGCTGCGAGTGGGTTTCGCTACGACGCTGAACGGCATCCCCGCATCTGGGACCATGTTAACGTCGACGATTCTCGTCGGTCGTTGAATTGTCCATTAAACTCACAGGTGCAGCTATGGTCGAAAGACGATTGCGTAGGAAGAGTACTATTAGACCAAGCTGCCATTGCGGCATGTCCGCATCGACCACTTACTTTGATGGTCATTCAGCAGTAGGTAGAATTCGAGATGTGCCTTTTTAACTTTGTGCTGTACAGCCATCCTTAAAAACAAGCGCAATCAGCTCAAGGCTACTGCACTCTTATTGTTGTCTTGATGTGTGCGGTCGGCTCTAATCGCTCCTTGGCATCGCAGTGGAGCTTTGATCACTTTCCCACGAAGCACTCGCTTTCGGCGTACCGTGGTCTTTCCCATCACTGGTATCCGTGCTTTATTCACTCGCGGTCTCTAACATTTTTTCATCCGTCTGCAGCAGAAACAGATCCGGCTGACGATCCGACCGGTGTGAATGGGATCCTCTGGATTGCTGGTTGCTCCTATGCATGAAGGGTGCTGATACACTGCAAGGCACTGGGGTTGAGCACGTGTAATCTTCGGTACTCGCGCAGGTGATACAGCTCATCTCGAGGATCGATGCAAAAAAGTCAGCGATGCATTAAATTGGAATCATAGGGGTCCGCATCCGGCAAGAGAGAGAACAACATACCGAGCAGAGGCAGTCTCTTTTCGTCCTCGAGTTTAACACTGCTCAACCAGTATCCAGGCTGACTTCGTCGCACTGCATTACAAGTACGTAGAAAGAGTTACCAGTCGTAGGTGCGAGATCGAGAAATCACTTTCGACCGACGTCGCATTCGGGAAGATGGTCTCGAGACCGCCACATAATGCGGGAAGTTGCTTCAAACGAGACACACAGTCCCAGGCGTCATTGAACAGCGTGTTGATGTCGTGCTTGTCGATCGCGTTCTGCTTGGCATCGTCGCCGCGGTACAACTTGATCAGGTCTCGATGGTTCGCTTCGATCTCCTCAGCTTGCTCGGGCGTCCAGAACGTTTCGAGGCGGCAGCAGTACTCGTTGATCACGTCCTGAATGGAGTTGGAGAGACACAGCCTGAGCAGCTGCTGAGGCATGACAGGCGGCGATTCGCAGTCTAGCGGTAGGTTGTTCTCATCACGCTCGGCGTTGACGCCCATGAGGCCCTCGACCGGTATGATTGCGCACATCGCGATCTCCTTGGTGACCGATTTCTGATAGGCAGCCACAAGACGCTCAAATTACTCGCTAGCAGCTTCGCTTGGGCGCAGATGTGACCTGTGATGTCCGCGACGTCGATCTGCATCGATCCGACCGCCACGTACTCGGCCTCATCACCGTCGCCCCCCCCTATCCGGATCGATGGCCTTGATCAGAACACGGTGGTGAGTGAGACAGTCAACGCATTGATAGATTCGTGCTGCTGTGCGACCGGCAGCAACCGGAATTGCAGCTCGGAGAACGTCATGTTGATTTCCTCGATGGCGGACGCCACCTCATATGTGATGACTCACCACTCGGCCGATGGCAGATTCTCTGGGTGCTGATCCTCGGTGTGCACGATGATCGACCGGTGATACTTCTTGTAAAAGTTGAGGACGCGAACCGAGTGCATCCAGCGGCTCGTCTTCTTCGAACACTTGACGCATATCCAATTGACAAAGTCATTTTGCGAGCGCGTAGACCACCTTGATACAGGCGCCGCTGCTGATGCTTCAGCCGCCGACTTGACGATGATGTCGATCTGATGCGGGGTGAACCGCACGCGCAATTTATTGAACTTGGCGCAACGCGCGATGAGAGTGACAAGGCCAGCGTCGCACCCATTTATCATGTTCTCGCCATCTGACGATGCGTTGGGCAGCTTGACGAGCATGTTGTAGATGATCTCCGCCTTGTTGCGGTCAAACACAGAGAGACCGACCGGACGGACGCTGCAGAGCAGGCCCTTGTAGCAGATTTGTACGCGACTGCAAAGAACGACTGCTCGAGGTGGGTGCTTGCGTCGAACGCGAGCGAGAAGACCCACACGGACACGTCACCTATCATATCCGAGACGTCCTGCAGAGAGGCGCCAAACAGGACGAGGACGTACTAGCCAACGATCATGTCGTTCCTAACGGTTAGTTTGGCCATCTCATTATGGTATTCCCGGTCGCACTGGATGGCGGACACTGCCGCCTGATCGATGTGCCGATAGACACGTGGTCCATCACAAGCTCGACCCGCATGACGTTCTTGATGATGATCTGGTACCAACCACGATCGTTCTCATTCTTGACGAACAACTTTAAGGCGTTCGTCTTCTCGTTGGGCTGCTTTGCAGCCTTCTTGGCGATCGTTGGACACGTCATCGTCACTGAAGTTGTCACTGTCGGCGTTATAAATCTCCTGGTAGAGCGTCCATGACTCAACGTGCTGAGATGCCAGATTGCATTGGTATTTGTGAGGGAAGATCGGCGTGGGGAACGTCTTTACGTTGCCTGTCAGCTTGCGCTTGCGACCTTTTGGACGATCACGACCTCGTCGCGGCCTTCTTGCCCAGAACAGGCACCGGCAGGTTGCGCTGCCGTTGGCATCCTTGGTCATGACCTCAACTATAAATTGCAAGGCGTGACCAGGCTGAAACGGCGTGGAACTTTACCAGTCGGATTCCGTTTTTTGTAGATTGTCCGAGACTTAAATTGTGGACACCGATCGTTATTTCTAGCGAATCTACAAAATCCTGAAGGCCTGACTTACGACAAACCCAAGGGTGCTAATAATGTGTGACACAAAAGTCTCAGCTGCACCATTCGGGTATCCAGTCATAATGAGCTCGGCCTCGCGTAGAAGCATAAACCCTCAGTATCGAATAGAATCTAGTAAGTGGTAGCCATCCGGATGGGGATGTGTAGCCCTCGCCGAAGGGACGCGTCAAACATCTCCAGCTTATAAACTGCCTATGTCCAGCTCTGTCTCCGAGTACACAAATACATGTGATCAGTTGTTTTTATGTCGTGGTTTGCTGTCGATTGGACAGATGGCAGATGAGAGCGGTACATTACACCGTAATCCTGCGCCAAGTGAAGCTCCGAGTACGCAATTGATACTCGACGGCAACCACGATCCTGCTCGCGTCCCACCCATTTCTATTTGAACAGAACCAGACGAGGTAACATTGGATGTGTCACTGCCGCCATACTACAGTTTCGTGAGTGGGATGTGGGGTGGTGCAGCTCCTGACGAAGAGATGAACAGCGCTAGTCTGCACGTAGGGTTGCCAGATGAAGTTTATTTCCTACAAGGAGCGAAATGATCACGAAGGCCAAGATCATGAGAATACTCGAGTGATTGCGGATAGCATACAATCACGCCGTTAAGATCAAGTACAACAGTCCGTCGTCACGAGGTGACTGAGGAGCTAAACGACAGTAATGCGGTCACTGCTATTAACGGTATTGCAAAAGTGCCTACTGCTCATGAACGTGCTGTCTCTAGAGCTCTGCCCGAAAAGTCTTCGGATCCTTCACAGCGCAAAACCTTTGCCACAAATTAACTCTGGACGTAAGTAGAGCTCTGTCATCTCGAGCGCATTGTGGCCCAGCCGCAACTGCGATCGACTGTCAGTTGGAAAGCTGTCCGAAAATGATGACGCCATGTCACTAAGCACCACGTCAACCTTGCGTCCTCTTAGTACATTTGCTCAGCAGTTCCTCACTGTTGCACGGCAAACTCATCTACACAAATAGCAATGCCTGCCACGAGATCTAACTATTTGAGGTCTACAACCAAAACTGTCGGTAGTGACTCCCGGGTCTCCGTTCTCTGATGCTACTATTCCTTGACCTTCTGTGTCCTTTAGCCTAGTGGCGTGTTGTCAAGAGTGGAAATACTTTAATTTGATGCAGCAAATTCCCAACTATTCTCGATCGACTGCGTGTCGAAGCCACGCAGCCAGGGCTGGAGGCCTAGACGCAGTAGACTTTACGAGCCTGGGAACGCTCGCTGCATGAATGTCCTCCCAACATCTTCATTGGCCGCCGTCTCCAACACCCATCATAGATATCCCTAAATCATCAGGTGGACGAGAAACACTGTAGTGTGATGATGCCGCGCTACCAGTGTTGATATTTTGCTTAGGCGAGCTATGTAACTCGGATTGTATGAGCTATAGATGTCATTGGCACCTTGGCAGGGGTGAATAGCAGAAGCATTGGACGTACGGGGCCCCGGCGAGACCCGACAGTAAATATAGCCGTATCCGTGTTCACGGAAATACTTGCCGAGAGGGGTATGATCTCAACCGATAAGACGTAACGTTCAGCAATGTTAGAGTTGAAGCGGACTGTCCGCTATCACGTTAAAGCACGCGGTCCATTTGGATTGCTCGCACGGTACGACGTTATGCACCGCTGCCATCTGTCAGGATAAATGCAAATCACGACTTAAAAATAAATGATCACATGTGTTTGCGTAGTTGGAGATAGAGTTGAAGACAGGTAGTCTATCAGTTGAAGACAATTAACGCGTCCCCCGCCAAAGAAGGCAGACGTCGGTTGTTAGAAATGCTAAATGTACCCACTGCACCTCCAAAAAAAAAGTAGACGTCAGTGCAAGTACGTGTGTGGCAGCTGTCGATAGCCATAAAGAGCCCATGTCTGGCCATTAACATGGCTGTCACCTTTTATATAGTCGCTGGAAGAGTTTAATGTCTTCGAGGTCAAGATGCGCGCGTGGACGAGTACAGTCTGGACACGTACCAGTTCATTTGCTGGAGGGATGCAACATATTAAGATCAAAAGTCGGCTCGGTTGCTCGCAGAAAGTGCTTAGCATTGAATGGGTGGTAACTACACAGCACCGGGTACGACGAGCTGCAATTGAAAACTCCTCACGTAACGACCGCGGCGAAACCGCAGGGAAAAGTATGACGATAAGCGACGTGAAGTGAAGTAATCCGTTACTGTCCTCGTGACGCTTTACTTAGTACAGCAACGTAACGCACGCAAGCACCACCCCCTCTACCAAACTCTCGCCGCACCATTACACACTGCCGTACTATTGGATCGTAGTCTCGAATATGCGGTGTAAGAAGTTTTTCAAGTCATTCGTCTTGTGCTTCGGAAGCACAAGACGAATGACTTGAAAAACTTCTTACACTGTACCAAGCCTTGCGCGATTCATGCGAACAGGCGTCTGATACCGTAAGCAAGCGCAACATTGGTTGAACGGATCAGTGTTCGTATCTCTTCATCGTGTCGGATTTGTCCGTAAAGACACCCTTGCACACCACTTTGATTATCCACATTGCCTGGACATGGCCATAGTAAGTACCAGGAAGAGCTACAATGTCCAAACCCCGTTTGCGTACACCGTTTCGAGCACTGGAACAGGACACATTGTTAACTCTTGTCGACGAGATCAGGAGATGGTGTGCAAACGAACTTGCTACTATGCGCTGGGCAACACTTGAGGCGGCAACAGGCAGAGCAGAGCGGTGAGCTCAAAATGATGCACTGAGGCAACATACCACTGAGTCAATGGCTCACCAATATAGTGCTCGGTGTGCTCCGTATTCGGTGGACATCTGCATGATATACCTCATCCAGTCCAGCTTCGCTTTGCAAATGATGTGCTGTTTGCTTATTATTTGTCCTGACGCGCAGGGGATGTTGCTAACCGAAGCTGCTCAGGTACAGGATACGTCCTGGCCATGAGCTCCTCACAAATTGGTGCATACCAACTTTTGTCTTGGCCATTAGATCACGTCGTGACGTACGTTCTGCCACTATCGCACCAGGTTTTAACCTCGCAACGTGATGCAGCACTGAGACCGACCAGCAGCCAAGCACAATTATGTGGGTAATGCTTGCCATAGACGTCTGAGTAGGTTGATAGAAGTGCTTGCCTCATCAACACGAGTGGTAGTGAGGAATGATCCTTCTCAACCGGCCGTCCTGAAAAACTTGTAGCGAAAGATCTGTCGATGCTACCACCACCAAACAACTAGGCAGCATCGGCTTGCTCGATACCTAGGCGAAGCCACACACACACACCGTCTACGAACTGGTCTTCAAATGGCAAGCCGGGTGACAAAGATCATTGTTGTTTATATCGCACAACAACAATCTTGAGTCTTTCGCTGCGCTTCAAGTAGAAATGCCGATGTAAAGATGCATTGAAGTGCAGAGCGGAAGACCAAATGCAGGAGCAGTAGGACCAGTAGGTTGGTCATTGGCCGGAAACCAGTAGCACATTCACTGCCAAAGTATGCAAGTCTGATGACATGACGGTTGTTTGTAATAAAGAGCGCTGGACAACATTGACCCCACGTACTTGCTGCACAACTGACGTTAACGGACTGAGAAGCCACTGCCGGAACTGTCCCAATATCGATAGATTACAACGAGAGCCACGAAATGATAAGATCCATTGTAAGCCGCTGCGGGGTGTCAAAACATGCCCGGAATGATGCGGTGAAATTCTAGAGTCCCTCAGCAGATATCATGAGCTGCTCAAATTGTGCACGTATCCGCAACGCTACCAAGAATAGCAGCGACTTCGTCCAGATGGACGCGAAAGCAGTGATAGCTGGCATCCATTTGTTTTACAGATCGCACAGCTGTAAAGTCGGCGAAAAACAACTGAAGTACTGTCTCCACGAGTGTAATGATCAATACGATCGCATACATGACATAGTACAATGGCACTCAGCAACGTCCCGTATCGGCGAATCGAGGCGTCGACTCGGATCTGGCCTAATGGCATAGACCACCTCAATATGCTTGCGCTTACTCTTCAGACGACTTCAGTTGCCTGTCACAGGCAGTTCGCACCTGACACGAATCTGCTCACGAATCGGTTCCCAAGACCAATTCCATCCCCAACGTCCTCCGAGTCGATACCTCCATGCTGCTCCAAGACTGCCATGATGCCTCTTTATCAAATCACATCATAAGACAGACAGCCTCTGTCAAAGTGCCCAACCACGAACGCCACATGCAGCCGCCTTACTGTCCAGAATAATTAACGGATCATACGGTGCTCAGCACTACGCTGCGCCGTTCGACACAACCACATCACCAATTGTCGACCAATGTTGCTACGTACTTCGCGCTGGCGTACCCACACTGACAGGAACATGGCTTGCAACGGAGCGTAAGTCATTTGTCGATGCTGACGGGACCAAGTTGAGTCTTACCGAATTACGCCAATACTGACGATGACAGAATTCGCCATCGGTGACCTTCCAGAATGATAATCGTCATGATAGTGCCGTTATTATACAAGCAGCGTCACTCGGCCACGCCATGTCGATTACAGTGTTGGACCGTCCACCACTGCGACGTGCTGCGGATACCCTTTGTAGTCTTCTGTATCTCGCCATGTTGGTGACGCGCGGACCCAAATATCATCACGGTCCTGTGAAGCGCAGTGGTCGTTAGAAGGCCGCTGGACGAAACTTACGCGGCAACTCTTGATATTGATAAATAAGGAGTGTACAAGCAGTGCACGTGCATCAAGCGGATGGCAAACGAGCACCACTCAAGATCGTTGAACTGTACCGCACAAACCATCACAAATCCGGCACTACAAAATCGCCGCATGCCGCGGATTCATGCGCTTTTTGAGCTTGGCCAGCTCAGACGTCATCAGCTCTTGCGACCACACGCGTAAAGACTCGATCATTCTCTTCTTGAGGAACTCTTGAGCAACCGAACCATCGTCGTCGTGTTCATGAACGTCGTCCACGTCCGAATACGACGGGCCAGTCATCACAGCTGCAGCATCCCGTGCACTGCGATTTGTGCTGTTGCTTGTAGTAGTACTGCCTGAAGAACCAAAGGTGCCCATACCAGCGCCATCTTTTTCCAAGTAGGTTGAAAAGTCCTTGAAAAAGCCAGCCATGTCCTTCACACCATTTGGAAAAATGGTGCGCATGCGCTCAATCGCTTCGCAGTCTTTTTTCCGTTGCTCAGCTTCCTGCTCGTCAATTTTTCCACTGCTACGGACTGTATGTTCCTTGCGGTTCCGCAGACTGCGTACCCATCCATTTGACCCACGAAAGTCTTCAATTCCCAATTCTTTGGCAAAGCGCTTGCCAACGTCCCGGATCAAAGTGTCCGAGATCGGCGCGTTCTTGGCCCGATTCACGTCAAACCAGTTTTCAACCAGACGGTTGAGTTTATCAAATTTCGACTTTTTGTTAATGTGCTTGGAACAGCCCGAGATCTTGTCTTTGTAATAAGCTTTCTTAAACTCCTCTTTGCGTTTCAATATGCGACTCACGGTGCTCTTGTTCAGACCAAACTGCTCGGCGATCCGGATACCGTTCACACCATCTTTACCGGTATTGTGTCCCGTTACCGTACCGGTTTCCTGGTGTTTGCTTCGACTCGAGCTTCTCGGGTCGTATTGGTACTGCTCCGCCACTTCAATAATCCGGATCTTCGTCTGCAAGTCGATGCTGACATTTGCTCCTTGTTTCCGCTTTCGGTTCTTGCACAAGTCCGACGAAGCTGCTTCAATAGTGGAGACGACATCGACTTGAGCTGCCGCGACATACCGACTGGTGAGTAAGCCGGTATCACTCGGTTCAGTTAAGTTGATGGCATCGGTTAAACACCGGTATTCGTCCGTCGCTTTCTGCATCTCAGCGGTAAACTCCCCGGCGATACCGGTATCGGCATGAAAGTACTGCTCACTGACGGTCACGCCCTGACGGTCCAGTAACATGTACCGTAACAGCGGGGTACGACTGTCGGACACGGTTGTTGTCGTGGTCAAAGAAAGGGACGACGGCAGCGGCAAGAGCGTGGGGGACGCTGCCAACGTCAATGGCATCGAAAGAGCGCCCGTTTGCTCACTATGATCGTGGGAGGAGAAGGAATCGAAAGCTGAGGACGTGTCAGAACTGCGCTCCTTTGATTGTAGACGCTGTTCGGAGTCGTCGACGTCGCCCAGCGTCAGAGCGAGCATCTCGTCCGCATGAGAGGAAGTGGACGCGTCCATTATCAGTGGCGAAGCGCAGTTGTGCGGGTTACGGCGGTAGGTATTTGTTTCTAACCGGTATTCGAGTCAGTACTTGGTGGTATCGACGTTGGGGTCTTGGAACCAATTCAACGAGGACGTGCGTGTACTCCACCTTCTTTTGATCGTCGCTGAGCTTGTTTTGCACTACTGCGCTTTTTGTGCTCTGTTACACATGATGAACATTTATACGAGCTGTAGCGTTTGATCAGTGTTGATTCCGTGCAATGATGTGGTGCAGCTATGCTGCTTTTTGTTTGCAAATGAGTTTTTCTGTCGGCCGCACTATCCTGCTTTGATCGACTTTCTGGAGCACTATCCTACTTTTAGAGACTTTTGAGTTGGAAGTGACGAGACAATGCTGCATCATGGTGACTCCGCGGTGCGTTACGTAGCTGTTGGATCTGAACTGAATCGACTTGGGAAGGTCAGCTGCGAAGACTACTACATTTGTGTAAGCCTACAGCTCTCTAGTCTATCTAGGTCTTAGTTGCAATCGCGCAACCCGTCTAAAGATGCGCTAGCTGTGTGCACGAATCATATTTTCGGCGCCGTTAAAATCAGGAGAACCCAAATGCTTGCACTGACCATACACATCGGTAACATTACTTCGCTTCATCGATTTTATGAATAAGTTTGTCGTAAAAGCAACGTCTGTGCAACCTTTTATTGCGACATGCGGAAAGGCGACAGCGGTACACAGCTTACAGGTGCCGGGTTACCGAGACCGGATTGATTGCATCGTTGTGTATTGTTTGTTTTGCTTGCACCATGAGAGTGGCATAAATCAATCAGTGATGTAGTCTACATCACGCGAGGCATTGCCAGCTTCAATTGGTCATTTGCAGCATAAGAAAGCATGAGCCGGCTTTTCCGTGTATTTAACACCAACCGTCTCCGTGCTCTTTTCTTCTAAATCAGGCGCTAGCACGACGCGAGCAGCCGTTCCTAATTCTTAATTTCCAAGTTGACCTCATCAACCAGCCAATTTAGTAACAAATAACGACCGAAAGTCGATCTTAAAAGACCCGAGACGAATAATGGCTCCAGACCAGATACCGTCAGCTGCAGACAAGCGCGCCGCTCGTCGCACCCGCGTGCTGCAAGGAAGCAGGAGTCGTCTCCAGCTCGTGACGGGGGAAATTTCGACGCTAAAACCGCCCAGTGACGAGTTCAGTAGTGACATTTCGATTCCAAAATCTCAAGTTTTAGATTCTAGGGGGGAGGTCGAAACGAACTCGGAATCGCTTGTCCCGTCTTCTGAGCCATCACCAGCTGTTCCAATTCCACTTTTTCGCGTGGATCAAGCCCAGAGACGTCGAGACGCAGCGGTCCGACGTCGTCAGAAGGAGAAGAACCAACAGGAGGAGAGTGGACGAGTGGATGCTATTGAGCCAGGAAAGTCTGAGCCAATCGAATCAGTTCGTGAACACCAGCTGTTCGAAACTGCCTCGTCTGCTGGATGTAGTAGCAAGAGAGCCAGTTCGCACGGGATGGCGCTAAAGCTCTCTTTCTTGGAGGAAAAACTTGTGCTGTTGCTGATTATCGCGACAGCGCTCTACGCTGCTGTAAACATGGATGTGAGCGTAATTATGGCCAAAATGGCCCGAAACAATGAGCTGGTCGATGTGAGCTACGACGACCTGCTCGCTAGTGGCGTATCTATGGAATCGATTCGGCAACAACTCGAACGAGGACATGTGCCATCTGGACGGAAGCAAGAAGAGCTGGAACATTTACGGAATCAGGAGCAGCATTCTGATGCGAACGCGTTGTTCATGACTGGTACAAGTGGATGGCTGCCAGATGTGGCGAGTTTGGGAGACTTTTTGACGTCGTTGATGGCACATCCACCTGTTGTATTGTGTGTGTTTCTCGTGAGACTGCTGGTCTCCACTGGAGCAAACGCTTTGCATAAAGTGCTGGCGCTGCCAGAAGTGAACCATTCAGAAGAGGGCGATCTGGGCTTTGTCGTCAATGTGGCACTATCTGGTCGCCCGATGCTGAAAGGTGCGCTCAGTTTTGTGAAGGTTGCTTGTGTGCTTGTTGAGGTGAATGGTACTAATTGTTTGTGCTGTTGGATGTGTAGCGTTTCTAGTGAAAGGCCGCAAGTCGCTGGACGACTTGTTTGTCTTTCTTTTTGCGCTCGTAGTGTTTGTTGCTATTCGTGTCATTTGGCTCAGCTAGGAAGCGTTGATCCGATCAGTCAGCGACAAGGAATATAGGCGCCAAGGACCGGTTGATCGGATGCTGTTGTGCACTTCATTATCTTGTGTAGGTAGGCAAAAATTGATGTCGGAAGCCATACTCCTCAGTGTAAACTTCGTTCGTCATTTTTGTGAGGCCAGGACTTTAGTTTTTCTTTGGATGACTGCTACGAGGGGCAACGCCATGATGTGTAGTGCAACGTGCAAGGTTACAGCAGGTATAGCTGTCTTGGTAGTGAGACTTCAATGGCCGTGAGCTCGCTCATGTGTAAGCAATAAGCCAGTAGGTATTATGCCTATTGATGAGAATGGAAGCTGATAGTGTGCTACCGAGAGCCGCGAGACCACCGGTAAACAAGTGCGTCTACAAGTACGTATGCTCAATGCCGCTTCGCGGACATTTCCGTTCGTTTATTGGACGTTTTCTTCGCCTAATGGACGTTTCTGTGTGATGCACGACTAACGATGTTTTCGTGAGCTTCTGAACACACATTGTGCTGATCTACAAACGAAGCACACTTTCACAACCAATTCCTGGCATACCTTGCACTTCGTTCCAAGCATCGACATAGCTGCGTATTACATCCATGATATTGGTCTTTCAGCCCGTGACCCACGTTGATAAACTGTGTCAAACAAGCAAGGCACGTGATAAATACACAATAAAACTGTGTGATTCAGCTACCACGCCCCATTGCGATGCAGTATTCACCACTTTTTTCCTTAATCAGTCATCCTTGACTTACGACACAAACCGCAGCGACTGCGGCGTTTATAAGCTGGAGATACTCGAGGTTCTCAGCTAGCAACGCACAAAGGACGAGTGCAGCACGGCTACACAAAACCTGCGCTGTTGCCTCGTTGGTGTGTGCAAACGCACATTCACTTGACAACCAATGTCAAATGCACCCACTCCAACTACATCGCGCAGAGCTCAAGTTTTTCGAGCTCAAACATCACCAACCTCAGCTGCTACTTGTCCATCCACGTCTTAAGCAAGACAGGGAGGCACATTACAGAAAAATGCAAGACTCGACAAAGAGTCAAAGTTGACTATAACTGCAACATTGTTTACACTTTTGTTACAGACAATAATGGCGGAGAAAACCTCGACAAGCTCAGCTTGGTCGACGACGAGCCGGACCAGGCACCCGTCCAAAACCCACTTGATACCCAGTTCAAGTCTCTTCAAGTCCGTGTGACCTCTTGCCAACAACAAAGAAGCAGATCGTCCAGTCCTCCTCATTCTGCAACTACTCTCCACTCCCAGTCTGTACCGATTTTGCTCCACTTCACACAGGCTCTCGCTTGTTTCCACCAGTCAGAGCGCGAGTTGAACATCGGTATATGATTGGATGCCGACACTCGATCGAAGTCGCGTCACTCGACCTCGTCATTGACTGGCTCCCACAGACCTCCCAATAGTAATCACTCACTCTTCGATCAGAGACCATCACTTGCGTATTCGCGTCCGACTTGACACGTCGTTATTGTTCGCAAATGTTGTTTCAACACGTCCGCTCGCTCCGTGGCGTGTCGCACGTAGCCCGTCGCATGACTACATCTACCCGTCGTATTAGCTCTGTCTATGCACCAGTTGACACCTTCCTTCATCGTCACTTGGGTGTCTCTTCTGACAAAGATCGACAAGCGATGCTGGCTACTATCGGATACGATACAATTGAAGCCCTAGTAGCCGCCACTGTACCCGAAGAGATCCGTCTCTCGTCGTCGCTAGCTCTTCCCCCACCTCTGAGTGAGAGCCAAGCACTGGCCAAGTTAAAAGCAATTGCTGCAAAGAACCAGACGCTCAAGTCGTTCATTGGCATGGGCTTTAGTGACACGTTGACACCTGCCCCCGTTGTCCGCCACTTGCTCGAGAATCCAGGATGGTACACGTCGTACACGCCGTACCAAGCCGAAGTGTCGCAAGGACGTCTCGAGCTGCTGTTGAATTTCCAGACCATGGTCTCGGATCTCACGGGACTGGACTATGCGAACGCGTCGCTACTGGATGAAGCCACTGCTGCTGCAGAAGCCATGGCCCTGGCACACGGCACGTTTCAAGGTAAACGGACCAAGTTCTTTGTGGACCAAGACGTGCATCCACAGACGATTGGGATGATGCAAACACGAGCTGAGAACGTGGACATTGAGCTTGTGGTTGGCAACGTAGAGCGGGATCTAAACTTGCAGGATGAAGTCTACAGCGGCGTGTTGTTGCAGTACCCGACGACATTTGGTGCTGTGAAAGACTACCGGGACTTTGTCACGGATGCTCACAAATCCAAGCTTGTGGTGGCGGTTGCGACGGACTTGTTGGGTCTCACGCAGCTCACGCCACCTGGTGAATGGGGTGCAGACATTGCACTGGGTTCGGCTCAACGCTTTGGAGTCCCCATGATGTTTGGCGGACCACACGCTGCGTTCTTGGCCACGACAAAGAAGTATTACCGTAAGATGCCAGGCCGTATCATCGGCGTGTCTGTGGATGCGCGAGGTGAACCGGCAGTGCGGATGGCTATGCAGACACGTGAACAGCACATTCGTCGTGATAAAGCAACGAGCAATATCTGCACTGCACAAGCATTGCTGGCGAATATGGCAGCTGCATACGCTATCTACCATGGTCCTGAGGGTCTGAGTGCTATTGCTGCGCGTGCCAACCTGTACGCTGCTACGCTGGCTGCAGGACTGGAAAAGTTCGTGCCAACGTGTCACGTAGTTCATGAGACGTTCTTTGACACGCTGGAAATCGATGTGTCCCAATTGAACAAGTCAGCGGCTGACGTGGCACTTGATGCTACGAAACACGGTGTGAATGTGCGCGTGATTGACGACAAGCGCGTGGGTGTGTCGATGGGTGAGAGCGTTGACCTGGAAGACCTACAGAAGCTTTTGCTGGCGTTTGGTGCTGCTGGAAGTGATGTGCAAACCAATCTGATCGAGACTCTCGGTGCCCGTGCCCAGGAGATTCAGCAGAAGAGCATTCCTGAAACACTGCGCCGTACAACGTCATATCTGACCCACAGCAACTTTCACAAGTACCGCTCGGAGACGGAGCTGACGCGTTATTTGAAACGACTGGAGGACAAGGATTTGGCTCTTAACCGCTCCATGATTTCGCTGGGAAGCTGCACGATGAAGCTCAACGCCGTGTCTGAGTTAGCTCCTGTATCGTGGCCCGAGTTCATGAACGTGCATCCTTTCGTGCCTGAGGAACAGAGTGCTGGATACCTTGAGCTCATTGAGTCGCTGAACCACTCGCTCGCCGTCATTACAGGCTTCAGTGCTGTGTCGACGCAGCCGCAGAGTGGCGCACAAGGTGAATACGCAGGCCTGTTGACGATTCGCAACTACCAGCGCTCAATTGGTCAGGGACATCGTAACGTGTGTCTGATCCCGGTGTCGGCTCATGGCACGAACCCTGCTAGTGCAGTGATGGCTGGTATGAAGGTCGTAGTTGTCAAGTCGGATGACAGTGGCAATATCGATCGTGCAGATCTAGCTGCCAAGGCTACAGAGCACTCGGACAACCTGAGTGCGTTCATGATCACGTACCCTTCGACCTTTGGTGTGTTTGAACCTGGTATCAAGGACATGACGGACCTCATCCATTCGCACGGTGCACAGGTTTACATGGACGGAGCCAACATGAACGCTCAGGTAGCGCTATGTAATCCTGGTGGCATTGGTGCTGACGTGTGCCACTTGAACCTGCACAAGACGTTTTGCATCCCTCATGGTGGTGGTGGCCCTGGTGTTGGCTCCATTGGCGTAGCTGCCCACTTGGCTCCGTTTTTGCCCGGACATGCGGTGCTGCCTACTGGTGGCGAAGGTGAGTACACTGTGAAGAAAACCAACTCGGCTGTCAGTGGCTCCCCCTTTGGTAGTGCAGGTATTTTGCCGATTCCGTGGATGTACATCAACATGCTTGGCGAGGAAGGTCTCAAGCAGGCTACGTACACGGCTATCTTGAACGCCAATTACATGGCGAAGAAGCTTGAGAGTCATTACGAAGTGGTTTTCCGCAGTGCCAATGGCACATGTGCGCACGAGTTCATCATCGACATTCGCCCGTTCAAGGAATTTGGCATTGTGGAGGAAGATGTAGCCAAGCGTCTGCAAGACTTTGGCTTTCATAGTCCGACTATGTCCTGGCCAGTGTCCGGTACTCTTATGATTGAGCCTACGGAGAGTGAGGGTAAAGCTGAGATGGATCGCTTTTGTGAAGCTCTGGCCATCATCCGTCGCGAAATCGAGGACGTTGCGACAGGTGTCATTGCAGTGGAAGACTCTCCACTTAAACACGCTCCGCATACAGTGGACGTTGTTACAGCCGATGTGTGGGACCGCAAATACTCTCGAGAACAGGGTGCGTTCCCTGCTCCATGGCACTTGGGTGGCAAGAACAAGTCTTTCTGGCCATCCGTAGGTCGTATCGACAATGTGCATGGAGACCGTAACCTTGTGTGCAGTTGCCCGCCTCTATCGGACTACGAATAAAGCGCTTGAGATGGTGTTGACTAGCTTCTCGGCGTGTTCTACTTGCTGCCGTTTGAATTGCAGAGGCTTTGCGGGTTTGTCAAGGAAATCGACTGATTTTCGCATGCCTCTCCACTTTGGCTTTAGCAGGAACGTATCGGTGTACTGACCGATGACTGGCGCCTGTTGCTTGGGCTGACAATAGATATTACGCGAGAGACGGTGGCTGGATACTTGTAAATTCCAACTACGCAAGTCCTTCTCAGCTTTGCTGCTGCTTTCAGTCTAGATCATGTTGTGCTGTCGGCTGTGCGTCGTTGGCAAATCAATACACAACGTGTATGACGACTTGTTATCATACCTTATCGAGTATATGGCAGTAGTTCAAGTCGGTGGCTTTGAAATCGTCAGAACCTAACTTTGCTTGCACAACGGAGACTGCTATGCAAACGAAAGTGCACTTTACATCAACGGATTTCCTGTCTAAAGGCGAGATTGATCGTTCATTTTTATCTGGATGGTTCTGTGGAGACCAGTTCATCAGTACTTACGTCATTGTTGGCACATGAACTAGGAGTAAATAATGGGACTCAATGCAGCTCCACACTAGAAGATACACATCGTTCAAACTGCGCCTTTTCATGGCCGTGATCGCCACTTTAACGTAATCCTGTTGCATCTTTCACTCTCACTCTATCTTCAGGTTGATCTCTTTACAGAAGAGGGTTGCACAGCTAGCACACTCTTGTGGGTACGGTGAACTGTAACTTGACAGCTGATCTGAGGAGTTGGTACTTGGGATGGGGTCGATACAAAGCGATCTCTCGACACATTCTTGACGATTATGACTTTAGTCGGTCCGGTACTTGACGACACCACTTCTGCCTACGCACTGAGCTAAGTGTTGTCAACATTTGGTTTGAGATGCAATAGAAATCCTGAAGTGATCACGATGGCTTCGGTTCCATGCAGTATCAGTAGCTGCATCCTGACGGCCCCAAGTCAAGTAACACGTAGCACCAAGCTCGAAAATCGCAGCAATGCCCGACCGTCTCAGTATTCTTACTAATTTTTAGGTTGTATGTCGACATCGAGTGCAAAGCGGTCATTACCAAAGCAGCTGTCATAGGGTTGCCTGAAGTTTGCTGTCTTCACCACCACTCAACTAGCTCCATTTAACTATTCGTTTCCAAGTTCTCAAGACGCATGTCGACCTCCTTTGTCAGATCTTCTGTTGAAACTTTATGGTAAAGCTTTTCCAGCACCCCGGTGAACTGGTTGTCACCGAACTTCTTAAACCTCTTGATACAGGCTTCCACCTCTGCTTCTTTTTGTCGGCAAAAAAAGTCCCGTCGCATCTTCGACGCTGAAAGCATGAAGGCGCACTGTTCGACACAGCTCAATGTGGCGAACCCACTCGGATACAAAAGACGGTGTAACATCATACACTTCTTTCCAACGCAATCGAGGATCCCGAACAGCACATCAAGGTCCAAACCCCACTTCATCCACACGTCAGACACCACGCCTGGGTAACTTTGGTAGTGCAAAAACAGCGCAGTGTGCAGGTTACCGGCATCACGTGTCATGCCCATCTTGTGCAGCGATACCATTGCCTGTGCCACATCCTCTAGACTTCGATGCTTCAACAAAGCCTTAACTAAGTTGCTGTGACGGGACCGCTCCACCAGATTTTTTAATTTCAGCGCGTCGATGGGTCCTTCGCTTTTGGCGACCCTCCAAAAGTACTCGACACGAGTGGCGTCTAGACAGTTCAAATCCGTCAAATAGATGGACCCATAATCGGCTACCTTCTTCGCCGGATTTCCACCTTGCTTTCATCATAAAGTTTACAAAGCTAATGGCGAATGTCCTGTGTCCATGGTATCCAGCTATTCTTTCGATACAGGTGCCTACCACTTCGTTTGTATCGTCTCAGAACAAAAGCTTTACTGCGTCTTCATCGCTGAGTACACGCAGGTGCTTGAATTAAAACAACCGAAGGTAGGAAAACCACTCGAAGAAAAACCATCAGCGATGCATCATATTCCGAAACCCGATACATCTCGAGAAACTCGAAAAGCATATTACGGATGCACTCCCAACTGTGTCCACACGTAATGTATTACAAACGGGACATCTCTGTAGAGTAGAAGTAGCATCTTGTGCAGAAGACAACCTCGTGTCCCGTGCTCTCTATTCTTTAAGGCGATACCAATACCTGCACCTCATCCACTGGGCTTCTGTGGAGCAAGAAGCTATGAAGTATCTTGTCGAAGTAATTTCGATGCTCGAATGGTAGATCTGTATTACGCTTCAGCAGACATGCAAGTACCGACGAGTCCGTAATTTCCGCGCTTCGGCAAGTTCCAGAAATTTTTCGGTACATTTTAACAGCATGTTGGTGCCTAAATCGATACCAGACGAGCGTCGCAATGTTGATAAATCTCTCGTTATGTAAATATTCTCCAGCTTCCTGTTTGTGTAACGTAGCACCCTTTGTTTGGGTGCCACGAAACTTCACGTACACTCGTACGTGTAGAGGAAGCTAATCTACCCAAACAGCTAGTCTATGTAAAGGTAAGAAGAGAACAGTATTTAACATAGTTAAGCTATCAATATAACTTCAGTCTTTATCGAACTATATTAAACTACGTCGTCGTACGACGACAACCTGCTCACCACTCATTGCGCGCATCTCGCAGCGATTGGTGGTAATCTATGGTTGATATGTCTTACATCAACCAATCTTGGAGCAGCGCATGAATATTATCCAAAAGGGAATAATATTCCTTAAATAATACCTATCTCGGGTAATATCGGTAGAACATTGTCATGCTAGACAATCTCCCTAATGACACCGTTTGGTGTCAAAATCATGTGAAGGGCTACCTCGTTACATTCTACCCCCCCCCCTTAACCGTCAATTACCCCGTTGGTTATATTAAATTGATTGGGGACAGGGTGATCACCGCTGGATCACTCTGGGAAAGGGAAGCACTCGTTAGTCAAATTTTAAACTCATTTAATTCATCGCATGGTGTCAAAGGTCCATGCGGTGCGCTACCGAAGTAGCCAGAAAGGCGTTTTCACGCATACGTGCAGCCGAAGAGAGCAATTCTCAAGCCTCAGCAGCAGGTGATCGTTCGCCTGATGCTGCAAGTGGTCAACATGCAGTGCCTGTTGCGACTAGTTTACGTGGGTAGTCACCACGTGCATCAAATAAATTCGCTGCGAATGCAGCGGGTGCTATGACTCGCAAAGCGGATGAGCCTGGTATAAAACTCATCTATTTCTGGCGAGTCGGATGATGCCTCCGACTCGAAGGCGCCACCTCACGCTTCCGGATCATTCGGGGCGGACACTGCTAGAGCCAGGTTGACTGTCTCTGGAAAACGAGGCGGCATCATGAAAACTTTGGACCGAGCAATTTATCGAGATCTTCGGACCAAGCGATTCATCTGACGAATCCTCGTCTCACGCAAGTATATCTGAACGGATATGACTCGTGATGGTGGTGACGCGCCTATGCGTCAACGAGAGAAGCAACTCGAGGGATCGAGCTGCTACAGGTGTCAGCTCTCATGCTGACACCACACAAGATACCAGGGACCACACTGTCATCTCCAAGCTTGTCAAGCGGAGTCTCCTTGGATGCCATCATCCAAGGAGTAAGATTGAGTGGCCTTTATGACCACCGGGATCGAATCCCATTGTTAGGCTGTAGGAGAATCCGTACTTATAATTCCAACGCGACAACAATTCGTGCTGAGGGAGAATTCTACACCCATGTGTTTTTCAAACATCGGTGGTACAATGACAACCGTGGCCGCGACGGTAAGACCTTGGTGCAAGGATAAAATGACTTCATCCACAACATCGAGTGCACTGGCCGCGAGGTCTGGATTGGTAAAATTGATGCAGCTCGCATCAGGTTTGAAAAACGCAATACAGCCGGTGTACGATGCAAGTTGCACTGACTGTCAAGAGATGCAGGTTAAGCCTATCTCTCGTGGGTCCAGGGTGCCTGGGCAATGATAATCATGCCCCTATGGAGGCCTACCTCCCTACTACTCTCTACTGGAAGGCGCGCATCTCTGCTGAGATGGACGAAGGGATTGACATTTTGCAATCCCTGTAATCGCGTTCGGGGAGGTCGCTGCCCGACGGCCCTTCTTAAAACGCAGTGGGTGGGTGTCGTCATATTTCTCAACAAGACCCAGAACATCGCGAATCAGCTGGGCACGAGGTTCCCAGCTGTCCGACGCCGGTGGATAGCTACGTCAGCGGACGCGGTAACTTGTCTGGACGCCATTCATGTCGCGGTGGTTCAGAATACGCTCCACCAGAAAGCGTTGACCACCGCTGAAATCGACCAAAGGATGTAGTGGCGGCGTAAACACCTGATCCGGCTCGAGGGTCGGATCAGCTTGGTGTTCAAGAGCTGAACCGTGTAACTGATCAGTTACACGATGACCTGGCTCATGAACGGACTCGGCGTTATGGGCTCCATGACATTGTAAAGGATAACTACAATCCTTAGCGCATGATCGATCGAACGATCGTGCCGCGTTTGCGTTCGAGCAACTTGAGAACGAACGTTCAACTCTTTTTCTTTGTGACTAGCTGACTGCATCTCGTCAGGACATCGCTTCATTGCGTGAGCAGTTCGCTTTGCTAGTCAACCTGACTGGCTCGTTGATACAAGACCACTCGAAGATGTTGATCGCGAATCGTTCTTCGCCTTATGAAACGGGCTCGTACTGATAGCACGGGCGGAGACGCCCAACGTAAACGTAGGTTTTCTACGCATCCTACGAGGCAGCTCAATTGTGTATGCGTTGTCCATCTGGCGCAATACGCGAAATAGGCCGATATACTTGGGCAGAAATTTACTGCTACCCACGTTTGTCACTGCGTGTTCCGGTAGATTTACTGTAGACAGTAAAACTAAATATCCTTCATTCAATGAAAGAAGATTTTCTCTTCCACGTTTGTTTGCGTTTCTTTTCTGTCTGTCTAGTGCATCTGCAACAGAGTCTTGAACGAAGCGGACAACCGCTTCTCGAGTCAGCAGAAATTTCTCTTCTAATCTATACTTGTTAACAGCAGCGCGCTTCGTGTGCACTGCTGAAAGAACGTTGTCTTCATTAGTGAGGGCTTCATCTTCCTCACTGTGGTATTCATTGGCGTTGCTAAATATACCATCATCTTCGTCATCATCATTATCGATTTCGATTGCATCGACATCGGCATCCGTCACGTCGACACCATTGCCGACGTGTGATGAGCAAGAATCAGATCGGTTTTTGTTTGAGCAAGTCCACCACCCCTTGTACTGAAGTCACACTCTAAAAGGGGGTAAACGTGGATGGCGTAGGCCATTCATGAAGAACGGTGTATGCGTTGTCGACGCATGCACCGAGTTGTTGATGGCAAATCCCTCCATCGGCAAGAATTCACTCCAACTCGTAAACGAGTGGACGTACCCTCGAAGTGTCTCTTCGAGGACGCGGTTGACGCGTTCCGTCCGGCTATCTGTTTCAGGATGGTCAGAATTTGGCATCTTCAATAGTGTTTCAAGTGAACGGAATACGGACTGCCATCACTCTGCCGGAATCGGTAATGGCTGCAAAAGTGCACGGGATGAAGGACTAGACTTCACCCGTTGACAAACTTCGCAAGCGCAAATTTATTTGCACACAAACTCAAACTGGCGGGGATGGTTCAGTCAATCTATTCAGCTCCTGGTCGATCATCACCAAATCGACTGGCGACCTGGTCTACCAATTCAAGTTGCCCTAGAGTTGGTTCGGCCCACCAGACGGGAATCTTAAACGTCCAGCGAAACGGAAATATTTGATCGTCACTCCTTCCATGGTCAGGAGCCTGATGGCTACAAAACCTTGGTTGCCGACCAAATTCTATCTTCCCCCCGTGTCTTTTAAGATCGTTGGTTGGTTCGTAGAAGTCACGGCTTACCGTGAGGTAGGTGTTATCTCAACCGCGATGCCCACTTGTTGGGGCATCGTGGCACTCATACATGATGCGCAGTCGCAGATAATTATGAGCGGGAGCGACGACACAAGGCGTGTCGCCGTTTACTGCTGTGTAGTACAGCAGTCCATCACGAACCGAATACCGTTCGGTTGAAGAGCGGTATTGAGACGTCAAGCATTTCAAAGCATGACTGCATGGATCAGACACGTAATCCATCAGAATTATCTTCTGTGTATGCTTTCCGCACGTCGTCGAGCAGATTCGACTGCGGAACACTCACTGTTAGTGTTGCAACAGTGGGATCACTTCTACTGTTGGATTGAGCAGTCGGCTCGAAATAGGGCCGACGTGAAAGAGCATCAGCGACGACATCAAGCCGTCCTGGTGTAAATTTGACGGAGAAGTTTAACTCCGCGAAGAAAGACAGCCAGCTCGCCATTTATTGCGAGAGGTGTGGAATTTTTACGGCCGTGCGTAACGACGCGTGGTCGGTATAAACGATGAAGGACCTATCTCCTAAGAGATAAACCCAAAACTTAGCCAGTGCATATTTCATGGCAAGTAGTCCCTTTTCATGCACTGGGTAATTACGCTCAGCTGCTTGAAGCTGACG